GCCGGTGCCGGGATTCCCCCCCCCTTGTCCCCGCCGTGCCCTGTCCCCAGGATCCCCGTCTGCCCCACGGCCGTGGTCTCCTTGTCCCCGTGCGCCCGTTCCTGCGGCGCCCGTGTCCCCTCCCCACAGCACCCTTGTCCCCGTGGTGCCCCTTCCCTGAGGTACTTTTGTCCCCATGGTCCCCTATGTCCCCATGGACCCCACTGTCCCCTATGTCTCCGTTGTCCCCATGGTGCCCCTTTCCTGGGGTACCTTTGTGCCCAAGGTTCCTGTGTCCCCTTTGTCCCCATGGTTGCCATGTCCCCCTATATCCCCCTATGTCCCCATTGTCCCCCATGTCCCCACTGTCCTCCTGTGTCCCCATTGTCCCCTATGTCCCCATGGTGCCCCTTCCCTGAGGTCCCCTATGTCCCTATTGTCCCCCTATGTCCCCATGGTCCCCTATGTCCCCCTGGTGCCCCTTTCCTGGGGTACCTTTGTGCCCAAGGTCCCTGTGTCCCCATTGTCCCCCAAGTCCCCATTGTCCCCCCATGTCCCCATGGTGCCCCTTCCCTGCAGTGCCCTTGTCCGTTTGTCCCCCCATAGACCCCACATGTCCCCTCCCCATGGTCCCCTTTCCCCGGGGTGCTGGTGTCCCCAGGGGTGCCGCTGTCCCCCCACGTGTGTGTGTCCCCGTCCCCAGGAGGGGCTGGCGCGGTGCCAGCGCGAGGCAGAGGAGGTGACGGAGCTGATGAAGCAGAATTTTGCCCGGGCGCTGGAGCGGGACGGGCGCCTCAGCGACCTTGACAGCCGGGCCCAGGAGCTGCGCGCCATGGTGGGCACACGTGGGCACCTATGGGGACATGGAGCCCTGGGGGGACACACTATAGGGACATATAGCCCCAGGGGGAATATGCTATAGGGACATATAGCCTTAGGGGACACTATAGGGACATACAGCCCTGGGGGGACACACTATAGGCACATAGAGCCCTGGGGACACACACACTATGGGGACATATAGCCCCAGGGGGAATATGCTATAGGGACATACAGCCCTGGGGGGGGGGAGGATGGCTCCTTAGGGGACACTATGGGGGTACACAGCCCCAGGGGACACATGCTATAGGGATATATGGCCCTGGGGGTGGACACGCTATAGGGATATACAGCCCTATAGTGCCCCCCCCCAACACTATATGCCTATATGGCCTGGGGGGGGGCGGTTACCCTATAGATGCTCCCCCGACGGCGTTGTCTCCACAGGGCGAAACCTTCACCCGCAGCACCCGGGCTGTGGCGCGGCAGCAGCGCAGGGGACACCGGCGCTGGCGCCTGGTGGTCATCGGCCTCGCCGGCCTCCTCCTCCTCCTCCTCCTCCTTATCCTCGGCCTGGCACTATGGCTGCCACGGCCACCCCCTGTCATCATCACTGTCACTGTCCCCCCCGGTACCCCCCCCGGCAGGGACTGAGCCCCCGGCACCGCAGGGAGCCTGCCAGGACTTGGGGGAGACCCTACAATAACAAACCAGCGTGATCTGTTTTGGGGAGACCCTACAATAACAAACCAGCGGGAGCAGCTTTGAGGAGACCCAACAATAACAGAGCAGCAGGACCCATCCCAGGGAGACCCCCACAATAAATAAGCACCAGGATCTGCTTTGGGGAGACCCTACAATGACAAATGCACCGGACCCTCTCCGGGGAGACCCTACAATAACAAAGCAGCAGGCTCTGTTTTGGGGATATACTACAATAACAAACCAGCGCGATCTGTTTTGGGGAGACCCTACAGTAACAAACTGGCAGGACCCTCTCCGCAGAGACCCTACAATAACAAACCACCGTGCCTTGCTCCAAGGTGACCCTGCAATAACAGCCCCTGTGGGATCGAATTCAGGGAGACCCTACAATAACAAACCACCGTGCCTTGTTCCCGGGAGACCCTACAATAACAAAGGGACCTGATCTGGGGAGACCCTACCGCAATAAACCAGCACAACCCACTCTGAGGAGACCCGACAATAACAAACCAGCGGGACCAGCTCTGGGGACACCCAGTCTTGTCCCCAGGTGCCACCAGCCTGGGGTGAGGGGGGACAGATGGACAGGAGGGTGCTGTGGCCCTGCCACCGAGGTGGGGGGACCTGGGAGGGGACCCTGGGGACATGATGGCACCTGGGCGGGGGGGAGAACCTGGGGAGGGGAGAGGATGGGGGGTATCCTGGCACCCACGGCAGGGGATGCTGAGGGGGATGACAGCGGGGAACAGGATACGGTGACACGCTGGGATCCCCAAAAGCCCCCCCCCCCCCGCATATCTGGGTCCCTCCCCTGTGCCTCAGTTTCCCCAAGCGGAGCCAGACACCGGAGCCTCGCAGCACCTTTATTGACAGCAAGCAGCGGCTGGCACCCATCCCCCGGGGGGACAGCAGCATCCCCCTGGGGGGGGTGCGTGGGGGGGTCAGCAGCGTCACCCTGTCCCTCGGCGCTTGCTGAGCTCATCCTGCACCCGCTGGCAGAGGGCTCGGCGCAGGGCGGGTTCCAGCGGGCTCCGGGCACACACCCGTCGCGTCACCTCCTCCGCACTGTCCCCCTGCGGCACCCTGTCACCTGCCGTGCCCCATGGCAGCACCCCCGTTGCCCCACGGCAGCACCC